ATTACAAAGAAAAAAGAGGATGTATTGTTTCTTTTTCTGTTGTTCATTCACTCTTTTGTGTTACTCTTTATATAAATATTGTCGCTATCTTTTTTATAATACATGACTCATGTTTAATGCTTTTTCAATAATATTTAGTCTTTACTCTGTTTCATTCAAATAAATCTTTTAAGTCGATACGTGGCATCTAAATGACACTCAGATGAATATTAATAGATTTCTGAATAGTCTTAATAATAAAACAACAAGAAAAATGATTAAAATCATTAAAACTTCCAATTACTTTTTGCCTTTACTTTTCTTCTCTTTGTTAGAACCTCCTTTCCATTTTTGAGTTTTAATTTTTCCATTAGGTTGATGAACAGTAACATCACTCATCATTACTCCAATATATTCGTCTGTACTTATTCCTGATATAAGAACTTTTTCTATTTCTTTTTGGTCTTTCCAAGTACTCCACAAACCAATAATATTTTTGATGGCTTTACCAGCTTTAGTATTTCCAGGAGTCAATTTGATGTGGTATTTATATTTACTAACACAATCATATGGCCCACAAACTGGAACAGCAAATTTAACATTCATTCCCTCAACTAATTCACCTACAAAAATTGTGTCATTGACAGACATTTCTTCGTCATCAATCTCTTCTTCTTCTTCCATTCGTTCTTTTATTTTTTCTTCTTGTTTTTTCTTTAACTCTTCTTTTCTTTTAGGACAGTCTTTTGCCAAGTGTTCAGTTGAACCACAAAAGAAGCATTGAATAGGAACAACTTTTTTGATATCTTCTTTTGGTTGTTCTTCTTCTTTAACATTAAATTTATGACCAATTCGTTCTTCCATTTTTTTACGATCTTCTTCATCTTGATCTTCATATCTCTTAAGTTTTTTCATTTTTCCAGCTTTACCTCGAACAGGTTTATTCTTTTTCTTTTCCTCTTCATCCTTCTTCTTTTTATCTTCAATCTCTTTTCTTTTTTCAGTACGTTTTTTCTTCTCTATTTTTTGTTGTAGTCTAGCCTCTTCTTCTTCTTTTTTACTTGAAAATTCTACTTTTTTAAATTGGATTTCTTCAATAGTGACTTTACCTTCATCTTTTTCTTTAACTTCTAAATTCTTAACATTGACTTTTTCTACTTGAACTGGAACAACTTCTTGTTTTTCTTCTTTTTGTTCTTTATCTCTCTCTTGCTCAGAGATTTTAATGACACTTTCCACATTTTCTTTTTGTTGAACCTCTTTTGTCTCTTGTTGAATAACTTCTTCATGGTTTTCTTTATCCTCCTTTTCAACAGCAAACATAATTCCAATACCAAAAACTAATGGAACAGGTGGTAGATAATTTTTCTTTCCTCTAATCATGAATGAACCAGTAGTAAGATATTCTCCTGATGGTGCTGTTTTACTTACTTGATCGCTATATACCCACCATGCAGAAGTAACAATTTTTGAAGTCCAAGCAGAAGATCTGCATACAGCAATTTTACCAGCTTGTTCTAAGGTAGGAGCTCCAATAGTTTTACCAGGAATTCCTTTAATAATACAAGAAGCAGCACCATGAATATCAGCATGAACATATACATCAGTACTTTTCATATATCTACGATATATGACATCATTTTGTAAAGCATCTTTACCACTTATAATAATAAAATTTTCACTTGATAAGAACCAATGGAATTTCTCAAACCAAAACCTTTTTCTCATTTTCTTTACATCTACTAAAGTTATTTTCTTTTCTTTTGCTACTCTTTCTTGTTTATTCTCAGCTTGTTTAATTGCTAAATCTTTACTTTCCATTGTTTTTTCTGCTTTAGCTAATATATTCTTTCTCATTTCATAAAAATTACGAATATTTTCAAAACCATTTTTGTTTAATGCGACTTCTACTTCTATAATTTTATCTTCATTTGTATGTTTTAATTCTAATACAACAACTTCATTTTTAAAATCAAATCTTTTAATATATTTTGCAATAGACGTTGGATCATTTTCTTTTAATGATTCAATAATGCCTTCAATCTGTTCCCATTTCATTTTTTCTTTTAAGAATACATTAATTTCTTGAATTAATTGATCAACAACTTGAATATTCTCTTCAACTGCTTCAGCCTCATTTTTTAATGTTTCAGCTTTATCTAATAACCCTTGATATCTTTTTTGATGTCCATCAATAACAGCTTGAATTTTCTTTTTCATAATCATTTCTTTCTTTTCTACTTCTGCTTCATATTCTTGTTTTTCAATATGACTATGAAATTCATCCATTGCTTTTTCAAAACTTTCAAATTCAATATATTTCCTTTTACTATCTTGATAGAAAATATCACAACTAACTTCTTCATAATATTTCTTTTTATTTGTCTCATGATAGAAAATATATCCTTTACATTTACCTGAATCAATTTTCTCATATCGTGTTATTGCTTCTTCAAGAATCTTTTTCATTAAACTCTTTTCTTCTTCATTAAATTCTTCAAGTCTTTTTGTTTTACTACTTTCTTTACCAAATTGACTACAACAATGGTCACTAAGTTGTTGTCCAAAATCACTGGTATAATTTATTAATTGTTTTAAAGTCCATCCTTTCATACTTTCAGATGTAAAAATTGTGTCATATTCTTTTATTATATTTTTTAATTCATTAATACCATTTGCATCACTTAGAAGATGAAGAGGATACTTTTCTCCTACAGCAACTTTATCTCCAGTTTTATCAAATGTAAAATTTCTTAATGTTAAAAGAATTTTATATTCTTGGTCACATAAACAAATGTTACCATTAGAATATAAATCAACTATTAATGAATAACGTTCAGTAGCATTTCCAAATACTAATTCAATGACTCTATCATTACCTATTTGATTAATTTTAATTAATTTCTTTTTATTTAAATATTTTCTTAGTCTAGAAGTAAAGTTATTTGGAAAGTCTGATTTCTCTCTGTTATATTCTGTTAGATGAACTCTAACTCCTGACTCGATAACAATAAATTCTTTACAATCTGTTTTTGATAACTTAATTACATACAATCTTCTATTAACGTCATACACTGTGTTAATGTTAAAGTCTATTTGTTAATTTTTATCCTTCTTAACTAATTTATATATATATTTTTTTTTCTCAAACTTTGTAGTTTATTATTCATTTCTCCAACAATAGCTTTGATTTCTAATGGGGACATCCACTTTCTTGGTTTTTTAGAGAATTGGCTCATTTTGATTATTGAATGTCGAATGAACTAATTCAGTTTATTTTTGTTTCTCTTTCTGGATTTTTTTCAAGACTCAAACTTCTTTTAAGTTTTTTTAATTTTTAATTTTTTGTTTTTATTTTTGTTATTCACCTTCTAATCCATCCTTTTCATCAAATAATTGATATTCAAAATAAACACAATGATGCTATTGTTCTTCAATTTCTAATTCACTAAAATAAGCAACTACTTTTCTCTCTAAAATTAACTAATTAAAAATGTATCATTATTGATTTAATAAAGTATAAAGAATGAATTATAACATCAAAACGTTTACACTGTAAATTACTATAACAAATGATGTTTAAAAAAATATCATTTAATAGTATTAATAAATAACCTCTTTCTTAAAAGATTTACTTTTTATCATTAAACATTATTCAGATGAAAGTTTTTCATATAACAATTACAAAAATCAATAATCTAATAAGGTAATTAAATTGAGTAATTGATTCGGGTTATTGTGAAGATAACACCCAAATGAAAGATATATAATAATATCATAATGCTAGAATTTGAAACTTTTTTATAAGCAATTCTTGAACTAACTTCATTTTATTTTAAATATTAAACTTATCAAGTAACCAATCAACAAACTTTCATCTGATTGTTTAAATAAATAAAATGCACTTTGTGGATATTTAATATCAAATTTCATTATTCCTTCAATTCTTCCATTTGATTCTAAT